AAGGCTGTTCATACATAAAAATTTATTTTCTCATCCCCACTTTCATCTTATGTCTCAATTACTGTAGCACAGCTTTTAAGATCATGACAAATGTAATTTGTGGTCTCAGTGACCAGAAGACTGCTTCAAATACAAATTTTTTTAGTCCTTTACTTTGACCATGCTACTGCCCTTCTTTCTCCATTCTGCTGGTTCCTCTCTTCCCCATCACATCAAATAAAAAAGACTTGACTTGATTTTTAAAGTCCTTCCAGGCTTTTACTGACATATTAATTACCTTCTAATGACTACTCAGCCATTCAATCTCATCTCTGTTCAGTTCATGATACCTATCTCAGCCAAGTATTTTATTTTCTAACAACAGCCCTTCCATACTGCCTTCACATTCAAAGGTGCCTGCAAAGCTTAATTATTTTCTGTTCAAGAGGCATCTTAAAACTCATCCCATTTGAGATGCCAAAAACTCAATGATAATTAAAAATGGTTAGTGTACAGAGACCACTGGTCTTGTATATCCCCATAGACTTGTCCCTTATCTCTTGTTCAAACTTCTTTGTAAATTGTCCAAGATTGGCACAATCCTTTTTGTTATTTGTGTGTGCTGACACAGTGAATAGCACAATGTATCCTCCTGGATCTTCACTCCAGGCAGTGTTAACAGCAGCAACATCAGTAGATCGTTGTTAGCATATAGTGTAGTTTAAAAAGCACAGATGGAGATTTGAGCCTTTCCCTTTCCCTTTCTTAGTTGTGCATACAAAAAGTAAATGCTTTCATCCAGCTGAGCATAATCATGAACAATAACTTTTACTAAACATTTACTACATGTTTTTTCTGGACACTTGCCTCCATCTTGAAGCATCTGAAGAACTTGACTTTTTAATATAACATGCATATACATACATGCTGTCTGCTATAAAGACTTGCTCATGCTTATCTAATTGATGCCAGGGAGATTACTCAAAGGAGTGTGGACCACTCACATTAACAAGACTTGAAAAATTGAACCTGTAATTCAGAAAACCTGTTGAACATAGTAATTTTTATGATGAATATCTCAAATGTTAATAATCACAACTTGGGCCACTGAAAACCACTGAACTCATGAGCCACATTCCACCTCCAGTAACTAGGCACTTGCTTAAATAATACTAAATACAACCTTCATTTTTTCATCTATATTCAAAAACTACACCTAACAATTAAGAACTTACTTTTTTAAATAACTGTTTGTTTTGTGATTTTCCTGATGTCAGAAAACGTGTTAAATTGCCATGCAGTTAGCTTTTAAATTAGCCCACCAAACTACTGTATGACTTTTGGAAGAGGTCTAGTTCACGTAAAGTACCAGAATACAATGTTTTAATGAACAGCAGGGTATATTAAACATCTAACATAACACTATTTTATGACAGACTACAGTAACAGTCTAGAAAAGGCTATTTCTAAACATATTTATTGCTGACTTCTATAGAAATGATGGGGTTTAGCAGCAAATTATATTTTCTGAACGTCTGCATAACTATATTCCACTTTTAAACATTATTTTTGAAACTTACAAGAGAATTAACATTCTTCAATATGCATTCATGTTTAACTACAAGTCTAGTGAACTAATCTACTAACAGCTTAATAATTAAATAGCACCAATAAAAATAAAGCAATCTATTTTTATTTCCTTTAGGAAGGAAACCTGTACAAATTATAAAGCTTAACAAACTAATATAAAAAATATTTCTGGTCCTTTTTTTCTCTTCGTTAATCTGAAATAAAATTCTAAGTGGATTTAATTTCAAAGTCAGACATTTAACGTTTCTCCCTCCTTTTTAAGTTGTTTCAAAAGCCTTCCAAAACTCCCTGCCAAAATCAGTATGCGTTCCATCTCCCCTCATTACAGTTTGTTTTTTTTCCTAGTTATTTCTTAACATAACCTTGTCTATTATTGGATCAAATTCCATCCTGCTGTAAGGAGCAAGTCCAGCAACGTGAACATGTGCTTTCATTGATGGACTAGTGCAAGGTTAAATATATCTTTCTGATATGATCCTGAGAAGGATACTGAAAAAAACGGCTCAAATTGCATTTCTTTGTGAAATACCATATCAAATGTCATCTGTTTGTGTGCTCATCTACCACTGTTAGCCCGTTGGTTAATTTATTATTTTTGTGGTTTAAGATCTATTGCTATATTGAAAGTCTATGTGTTGCTAGGACTGGGTTATTTGAAAGTGGATTAAGTAGTAGTTGCTGAAACGTACAAAGTGACACTGGAAAAATTTCTATTGGAATAGCCACTTACCATAGCAAATTTTGTTCCTTGAATGTACTGCCTCCAAAGAGGCCCCCCATGGGGATTACTTTCCCTGCCATGAAGCAACAGAAACCATAGAAAATGTTAGATATTAAATGGAATATTCATATCTATTCCAATGTTCTGGAAGAAAACAGAGAAAAATCTCCTATTTCTTCACTCCCTAAGCATTGTTACATTCCATAAATACCCAAGGTAAAAGTAAGCCTGACGAGATGGTGTAAACCTGCATAGACAATTCACTTGAGAAAAGGTTATTTCGGTAAATAGCATCCTTTTTCTCTCTTATGACACTGCCTACACAGTTCTAATAAGTAAAAGACAGGTGGAGACAATTCTGAAAACAAGGACTGAGGCAGACTACTAGTTGTAGAGAGAGCAAACTTCTCCTGTCCAAACATTGCATCTAATGTAACGCAAGAAGTCTTGCTTGGGAACTTTTAAGTACATTAGCTACCTTAATGAAAATGATGTAAGCTACTTCTGTATTGAAACGGCCTAACCCTTAGCTTTTTACCAAACCTGACCAGTTACCTTAAAAAAGGCTTTTGTGTAGTCAAACAAATGATCCAGAGCCTGTCCAAAAGCTTAAATCAAAACAGCTGTTAAAAATGGCCAATACTGTTATAGTCAAGAATATGGGAGGGGAGTGAGGGCATTTTAAGACGGATCACCCTTATAAAAACACAAGGACAACTGCAGTTTTGAGAGTTCCTTTTACATTCTGTAACTACAAGAGGAATATTCAGTGTAGGAAAACGAGAAAGGTACCACTGCATCCCTCCAAAGAGATGCCAGGATTGCACCCAAATGCCAGGACCCTAAGAATGTATGTATAACTTATTATTTGAGTATGCAACTCCATGAAATCTTTTTGTATGCTATTTTGTCATGAATAAAAAAGAACTGATTTAAATAATTTACATAAAAAATGAAAGACAGGCTTAAGAATAAATCAAGTATTTTTTAAGCTATCAAAGGAAAAACATGAACCTGGTTCCTCCCCCCAGAAATGTGCCATAAGTCATTAAGAGAATGGGATTTAACTTTTGGGTCTTCAGTTTCTTTCTACTTCACTTGTAGCTTGGCCAAATATTGTTGTTTACTGTGCCACCTACTGACACTTCCTTTCTTCTTTGCTTCTGTTTTCCACAGAAATTGAATAGCTGTTCTTCAAACTGGGCCTTGATTCTGTTGTCCACAGATAGGTGTCTAACAACATTTCATACGTCCTTTAATATCCCACTTGGCCTCCACCTGCAGTGCCAGGGTCTCTCGTATGTTGTGTCGTATCTGCTATCTTGTGTAGATATTTTGGCTACCTTGGGACATCTCAAATAGTACTAGATGCCTCTTTGCAGGCAACTGTGTCACGCCCTTCCTGTCAAACAACAAGTATTTTCAGAGGCTATCATTGCAAACTGTTGATAATGATATAACCTTTGCTATGAAAAAGATGAGATTGCTGTGGATATACAGGAAACGGAGACTTTTAAAAGGTTAAAAAAAAGCCAAAAGGATCCCATGCTGAGCCACCAGAAGTCTACACAGAAAGAGAATCTACCACTTTCATTTTCTGGAGCATTTTACAAATCCATGACTCTTTTATATCACAAAGGTTCTACCCAGGAAAGAGCACCAGAATGTTTCCTTTGTGGATTCATAAGCAAAAAACTTGGAGTCACAAGTGGCTCTGAAAGTACTTGCTCCTAATCTGAACAGCTGTAAGCAAATACTCCAGATATCCTACATCCAAGGAATGCTTATCATGCTCACAAAACTGCCATTACCATCCAAGCATGTCTCTTCCATAAAACTCCAATCAAACTCAGGCGCAGAAAAATGACCCGAGTGCTCTGGCCTTTGAGAGCTCTATCATCTCTGAGCTCATAGGATCAAAACTAAAAAAAAAAAAAGATACAATTATCTTACTAAATGCGTTCCTCAGATGTATGAAATACAATTTCCAGGATGGAATTTTAAGCCTCTAAAGAATTCTGATATGCAAAGTGGTATTAAAGCTTCCCTAACAGATCTGCTAAAGCTTTGAGTTTCCACTCCCCTTTCCCTGAATATGCTACCAACATAATATTCTAACTTCCAGCTGCATGTTGTAATGCTGTTAAAAGGGAGCTGTGAAAAATGCTACTGCACATTTCAGCTTCTGAAACAACTACTGGTGGACAAAACTTAAAGAGCCTTCTGCTACTCTGGATTGTGCCAAGACTGAAAAGTCACCTCCTTTTACTTTTTTGCTGTAGACGAATACACAGGCAACAGAAGTTCTCTTTGCCTCTCTCCTCTGGACCCCAAGCTTGAAGAATGAATTAAATAAACTTTTGACTGAGTCTTTAACAAAACTATAAAGTTTAAAGTTTAGAAAACGAATCAGGGAGATCCAATTTGTTCTGTCATGTCTCAGTATGACTTACCTAATTACAGAGTTTAACAGCCTCTGAAGACCATTTTTATGGCAAGCCAAAAGCTAGAAGAACATAACAGAATCAAATTACTCCATGTTTTAATACGTATTTGGTCTTAAAAACTAACTTCAAGTGGGTGCAAGTACTAACTGGTGAAGCATATAGGCTCTTCCGCTGTATGTTCCAAAAACCTTGAAATAAACGTATCATTTTGGTTTTCAAAATGACTGGAAATACATATTTTTAAAAAAAACCAAACAAATTACCTGGCAAGGCTTCTTCATTTTAATTGCTATAACATGGTATCTGTAACAGCAGAGTTCACAGGTCCATGACCCTCTTTCACTTATCCACTTTAACAGGCAAAGCTGATGCGTGTATCGTACTGACCCATCACAGCGGCAAGGATTTAACAATTCACCCTGGAAAGGCAGCACAGAAACATTAATTTTAAAGGAATCTTTTATGCACATGTATACTCGATACCAAAATCTTTACAGGTCTGTAACAATGAGCTGGTCTCAATTTCAATACATGAAAACAACATGTATTTTTGGCTATAAAAATTCTTAAAAATTAAACTGTCTTAAAAACATCTCAGTGCTTCTAATGAGTCAAAGCCAGATAACTGTCTATGCATGCATATGTACATATGTGAAACAAGGGAAAGATTACCGTGCATCAAACAACAGTAGCATTAGCCCTTTCAAATGCCTCAAATGGTACTGAAAGTGGTTAGGTGCATTTCTCCAACAGTTATTTGCAGTCATCACTAGGAAAGAAACGGGTGACGTCACAGAGAACCGTGCTCTCAGAGCCGGGTTCTGCGCTGTCCAGCTGCCAGGCAGGACCTCAAATAATGTAACTAAACACTTCCCCCAATAGTTCACCTATTTCTAATTACATAAACCAGCTATTATCTTCTTTCTTTAAAATCTTTTTTTTTTTTTTTTTTTTTTTTTGGCTAAACTACAAGACCAGCTATAAAATGCTAGTTACGGATCCATTGCTCATGTTGTGCCCAGTAATGTAATTCTCTCAGTCAGAGAAGGTACTGGGAGGTCTTCTCAACGTTACCTGTAAGCTAACACTCTCATTTTAAAGTCTGATAAAACACCTGAGAAATCCGTACTGTTTAAAGTCCCCGAGGGGAGAACCAGCGGGAAAGAACATGTCCAGCGTGCAAGCCAGCCATAGCAAATCTCTGGTTTTTCCCAAAGCTCTGCGCCGGCTCAGAATTGCCCCCGGCGTTTGTCACGACCAGCCGAGGCTCGCTGCGCCCATCTCGCCGCCGACA